GGCGATCACCGATTATACACTTTTTCACGGAAATCGGCCGATTATGATCGGTGGCCGATCGATCGGCACACCTCTACTAATAATAGTCATGGCCATAAAGAGCCACGCTTACATTATTAACTAGATAGATATATTAACTAATAGATAGAGGTTCCCAAACTGTGGGAACCATTGCGGGGGAAGATTGGATAAATAGCTCACAAACTGCAGGCCAGGCCTTCTCCTCCAATATCAGTTGCTGATCTCACTAATGGAAAAAAAGGTTCAAATTCTCAAAAACACACTCCTGATCCTGCCAAACTCTTGAAATATGGATTTCTCTGCAAACAACACAGATAAGATATAATATATAAGAAATTGGAGGCCTGTATTTTACTGTCTCATACTGTAAGTAGTATTTACCTTCATGGAGAAAACTACCTTGTATCCACCAATATTTAAAAACCACAGGCCTGCCTTCCAATCACAGTGCCTAAGAAAACGGGACCTATTATGCAAAACTAACTTTTTGCATGTTTTGTACTTCCATTTGGGCCTCGAATGGTTCTAAAAACGTTCAAAAAGTCCAAGCACTTAAAAAGAGCCTCCTAATTGTTTTTTTCTACTACCATATTGTTGGCAGTACTGACAGACTCAATAATAATGGATATTATTGGCATATAAACTTGTCAAAGTCAAATGGCTCACTTATCCTAAGATTAGGATCGACTCATAGAGGTCTCCATATTGCCAGATTTGACTAAACAGGAGTTCAAGTCAAGTTTGATACTTATATTGTAAATATTCAGTGTGATGTGTTTAGTTTTAATGTTACTTTAAAAAGGTAGAATAATCAGTGTTATAAGAAGAGGTGTTTTTTTATGGTTCAAGAACCATGCGCTAACACCATGATTTTAGAACGCATTGGCCCACGTTAAAACAGTAAAACAAATATGCACAAGAGGAAAACGTGAAAACTTTTTGTGGTTTGCACTGATGTGGTTCGAGCCTAAAAGCCCGACCTGTTAAAATGACCTGACCTTACTGGTCACAGTGACCAAAGCAAACAAAGAAAGCAAATATCCTTTCTGAGTGAACTTTGAAATCGATGAAGAGTTATCACAAACATTTATGAGCTTAATTAAGGGATATAAATAACTAAGGAACGGAAAGACATGACAAGAACTGAAAATGTATTAACATAAAGAAAATTACTTGCGTTGTAGAAATGCCAAAACATTTAACAAAAATGTTATTTCGAATTACACAATTTTTGTTACTACCAGCATAGCCCTGCGACTAAAGAACAGCTTTTTCCCAAGAGCTGTTAAATCTGTCTGTCGCGTCCTTCTATCCTCTCTGTCCCCCTGCAGGTGCAACTCCTTTATGCTGCACCTTAAGAACTAATTAAGACTTTATTTATTTATCTATTTACCTATTTATCATTGAGGGTGTCACTCCAATTTCATTATGTTCTAGAAGCATAATGGCAAATAAAAATCTTATATCTGACGTCTTGTCTAAGAAATGTAATTTTATTATCAAGTCTTGTTACCTTTGTATTGCCAACAAACAAACAAGCAGAGTTTATCTCCTTAAACAATATATTGTAAAGCTTGAAGCCTTTCTAATAGAAAATGCGTCATATTTTGGCAATATTTTTAAAAAAAATTATGTTTACATATTAACAAATACCAGCGTTATAGATGTATGGTAGAATGAAGCAGTATTACAGTTTAGACAGAAATTGCTAAATGGAAGTATTTGGTCATGATTTTGGAACAGGTTGCTCAGGTTTGACCTGCACCAAAGAACCAGGTCAGGTGACCCTAACTTTCCATCCTTTGATGCATGTTGCACAAACCAGATTCTGACCAAAAGATAAATAAGTTATCCATCAAATTACAGGCAACGTGGCATATTTGCATAGCACCGATGTCCGTATAAAAGGCTGCCTGTCACCACAGATTGTCACAGCCTCATCAGCCATGAAAGCGGTTGTGCTAGCCCTGACTCTGGCCTTTGCGGGTAAGAAGCATACTGCACTAATAGATTGCATTTATTACATTTATTTGATTTATAAATTGCACATTTGATGTTTTTTTTTTTATCTTTTTTAAATAGTTAAGTGTTTATTGTTGAAACATTTGGAATAAAATTTAGAATTCCTTTAAAGCTTCTGAATTAGTTCTCCCATATTAATTTGATACAATTATTCATTCTTCTTTAATGTTTGACAAAAAATGTTTTTTTTTTTTTTCCCATCCCAGCTGGACAAAGTTTTGAACCTGGTAAGTCCGGTATTTGAACTTAAACTAAATGATTCAAAATTAACATAGCTATGCTTTTACAAGTGAATTTTACCACATTCTCTGACTTATAGATCTAAAAAAAAAAGAACATACATATGTCATGCATTATTCTTACTGTGCAAAACTGTGTTCACAGTCCCTGAATTTGCTGCCAGTAAGACCTATGTGTACAAGTATGAAGCATTACTCCTCAGCGGTCTTCCTGAGGAAGGTTTGGCAAGAGCTGGATTGAAAATCAGATCCAAACTTCTCATCAGCCGAGCTGACCAAAATACTTTAATGCTGAAGGTAACAATAAATCAGCTAGCGACAGCAATCATTTACCTTTGCAAATACCTAACCAACACATTTTACTTAAATCACAGCTTGTGGAACCTGAGCTCTTAGAGTACAATGGTATTTGGCCAAACGACTCAGCAATCCCAGCACCCAAGTTGACGACAGCCCTGGCACCTCAGTTTGCGATCCCCATCAAGTTCGAATACGTCAATGGTGTTGTTGGTAAAGTCTTTGCTCCCGACGGGATTTCGGCTGTGGTGCTGAACATCCACAGAGGCATTCTGAATATTCTCCAGCTGAACCTCAAGAAGACCCACAAAGTCTATGACTTGCAGGAGGTTTGTAAAAGAGGCAAACGGTAGCCTATTTAAGAAGTTCTTTACCAGTCGTCATAAAACTTTAGTCTAAAAAGTTTTCTGTTCTCCACAGGTTGGAACTCAGGGTGTGTGCAAGACCCTCTACTCCATCAGTGAAGATGCACGTAATGAGAACATCCTTCTGACCAAGACCAGGGACCTGAACAACTGCCAGGAAAGAATCATTAAGGACATGGGACTGGCATACACTGAGAAGTGTGAAAAGTGCCAGGAGGTAAAACTAAACCCATTGTGTTCCAAGGTAAAACTGTTCGAAGCTAAACTTTGCATTTAACCGATGACTTGTTTTTGACAGGAAACCAAAAACCTGAGAGGCTCCACGACATTCAGCTACATCTTCAAACCAGTCGCTAATGCCATCATGATCCAGAAAGCGGAAGTTAATGAGCTGATCCAGTTCTTGCCTTTCTCTGAGGATAATGGAGCTACTCAAATGAAGACCAGGTATGTCAAGGTTTACTAACAAAATAGAGGTGATATTAGGTTTTAGTTTAGCCTCCAAAGAGGCTGGCACTTAAGCCTTTGTGATTTGTTTTATTTGTAGTAAGTTATTTTATGATTATTTTCTTTTATTATTACATTTATTGACTTCTGCACAGCACTTTGATGCAGCTTCAACTGTTTGGAAAGTGCTTTATGAATACATTTGACATTGACATAAACCTAACATGTTTACGCCTTAATTTAAAGGCAGTCCTTTGAGTTCCTTGAGATTAAGAAAGACCCCATTCCACCTATCAACGCTGTCTATAAACACCGTGGATCTCTCAAGTACGAGTTCTCCAACGAACTTCTTCAGGCACCCATTAAGCTTGTCAAGATCAGCAATGCAAAGGCCCAGGTACGGTTTGGACTCTTGGTCCAGGATTATTAAATAATGTGAATAGCGGCTTCAAAATGACGATGATTGTGTGATGTCAGACTGCAGAGGTCATGAATCAGCTTGCCAAAATCAACGTGGAGAATATTCATGAAAATGCACCCATGAAGTTTTTGGAACTGGTACAGCTGCTCCGTCTTGCTCGCTACGAAGATTTGGAAATGTACTGGAACCAGTACAAAAAGATGTCCCCTCACAGGTTCATATCAGCGACTGAACATAACTTGCAAGAATGAATAAATGCTTTTAATGAACTTTTTATTTTTTCACACTTAATTTCTTTTTGCCTTTCCAGACACTGGTTCTTGGATACCATCCCTGCTGCTGGCACTCGCGACGCTTTTAGATTCATCAAAGAGAAGTTCATGGCTGAGGAAATAAACACTGCTGAGGCGGCTCAAGCACTGGTAGCAGCTGTGCACATGGTGACTGCTGACCCCGAGGTTATCAAGCTGTTGGAGGTTGGTAATCTGCACTTTGTGAATAACTCATTCTATGAATAAGAAAGAATGGAATGGATACGATATGAATGTTTTTTTCCCCTTTTGAAGAACCTGTTGGCGAGCGACAAAGTAGAGAAAAATCCACTTCTGCGCGAGGTTGTCTTCCTCGGATACGGTACAATGGTTTACAAATACTGCAATGAGACAGCTCCCTGCCCAGCTGACCTTATCAAGGTAATTTAACCACATAAATTCCATTTTGCTTCATACTGAGGAAAAACTGGGAGAACTAGATTATGTTGTTAATTACTAATTTCCGCCAACAGCCTATTCAAGATCGACTTTCAGATGCTATTGCCAAGAATGACGAAGACAAGATCGTCCTGTACGTGAAGGTTTTGGGAAATGCTGGACACCCAGCTAGCTTCAAGTCTCTCACTAAGATCATGCCCATCCACGGCACTGCTGCTGCATCCCTGCCAATGAGAGTTCATGTTGAAGCCATCATGGCTTTAAGGAACATTGCAAAGAAGGAGCCCAGAATGGTTGGTTCTAATACCAAGTGTTTAAAAGTGTTTTTGTCTATCCACAGAGGTGTATTAGAAGTTAACCTTTCTTCTCTGAATTAGGTCCAGGAACTGGTTCTCCAGCTCTACATGGACAAAGCTCTCCACCCAAAGCTCCGCATGCTTTCCTGCATCGTTCTCTTCGAGACAAATCCTCCCATGGGTGTGGTGACCGCTCTTGCCAACTCTGTGAAAACAGAGGAGAATCTGCAGGTGGCCAGCTTCTCTTACTCTCACATGAAGTCCCTGAGTAGGAACCACGCAACCGTTCATCCTGATGTGTAAGGCAATCGTCTCTTCCTGAATTATCATTAAGTCCTAAAAATGTATGCTAAGTCACCTCTTTAATCCTCCTACTCCAGTGCCGCTGCTTGCAACGTTGCCATAAGACTGTTGAGCCCAAAGCTGGACAGACTGAGCCTGCGCTACAGCAAAGCTATTCATGTGGACTACTACAACAGTAAGACGGCATAAAGAGAAGATGAGTTCTATTTTTTCTGAAGTATTAGCTAACCTGTTTAATAATATCTATATCAGGCTCCTCGATGCTCGGTGCTGCTGCAACTGCTTTTTACATCAATGATGCTGCAAGCATTTTGCCAAAAACTGCTGTTGCAAAGACCAGAGCCTTCCTCGCTGGAGCAACTGCAGAAGCCCTGGAGGTCATTGAAAATACAAACACCTGTTCAAAAGCATATAGCAGAAGCATTGTTTTTTAATGCTGTTTTTTTTTTTGTTTGTTTGTTTTCCCTACAGATTGGAGCCACTATTGATGGACTGCAGGAGCTGCTCCTGAAAAACCCTTCTCTCTCTGAAAACACTGACAGGATCACCAAAATGAAGCGTGTCATAAAGGCTGTAAGCACCAATCAAAAGAAGAAATATTACACAGACCAACATGACAAAAAAAAACATAACTTTTTTCTCGCCACAGCTGTCAGAATGGAGAGCCCTGCCCGCCGACAAACCCCTGGCTTCTATCTATGTCAAGCTCTTTGGACAGGAGGTTGCCTTTGCTAATATCAACAAACCCATGATCGAAGAGGCTGTTAGGGTACTACAGAGACAACAATCAACTGAGCTCAAGGGAAATCAAGTTTTGTCAGACATAGCATAAACTGTATACTCCTTCTTTACAGTATGCCAAGGAATTACCCGTTCAGGGATATGGAAGAGATATTCTTAAGGCTCTGCTCGTGACTGGCGTCAACTTCAACTACGCTAAGCCTGTGCTGGCTGCTGAGATGAGACGCATTCTTCCAACTGCCGCTGGTCTCCCGATGGAGCTTGGTCTGTTCAGTGCTGCTGTGGCTGCAGCTTCTGTTGAAAGTGAGTAAAACACAGTTTGGAATGAATTTCTCTTTAGGCTTTGCTGTCTAACTTCATACTGAGAGGCGGAGATGACAGGAAGACAGATTATTACACTGCAAAAACACAAAAAACGGACATTTTTCAAGCCTCTAGTGCTAATATCTTGGTGCACTTGAAATAAAACAAGTGATCTTTGAGCAAGAAACCAGACAAAAAAAAAAAAAAAAAAAAAAAAAACTTGGTAAGAGTTTGTGTTTTTACAGTGTAAGCGTATGACGATATATTCTCATTTAAATGTGACTTCTTTATTCAAAGCAAAAGAAAATCTTGTGATCATTTTTAAGCAACAGGAAAAGTCAAGAGTTTTTCTGTTTTCTTAGTCAAGCCAAACACATCACCACGCCTGCCAGAAGATTTCCCCCTCAACAAGCTCCTGGAGACAGACATTCAGCTCGAGGCTGAGGTCAGACCAACGTAAGTGGCCACTGTCATACACTACATGAAATTCACCATAAAATGATTAATGTGATAAAAAATAAACCTGAAAACCTTTCTCTTTTTTCCCCCAGTGTTACCATGAGCACATATGCAGTTATGGGACTCAACACAGACATTTTCCAGGCTTTTATGATTGCGAACGCCAAGGTCCACTCTGTTATGCCAGCCAAAATTGCTGCAAGACTCAATATCAAAGAAGGAGACTTTAAGCTTGAAGCTCTTCCGGTTAAAGTGCCTGAAAACATCACATTTGTGAAGTAAGCACTTGGATGAATTTAACTTAACCTCTGTCACTGTACTTGCAGTCCAGCTGAATTTGTTTATTTTCTCTTCAACAGTGTGACAACTTTTGCTGGGTCAAGAAATATCGAGGAACTTCCTGCTGAGAGAATTACCCACCTCTTCCCTACCAAACTCATACCCTTAAGCTCAAGCAAAGCCCGCTCATCCGAGCGAGCTTCCTATGTTGACAGCATGGTAAGTTGAACTTAGCCTTGACAGCTACTGTTGCATCTGCAATGAAGTTCTGATTGCGTCTTACTTCTCTTGCAGCTCTCATCCTCCGAGCTCCTTCCCGAGGAAGCAAAATATGCCATTCGCCGACATAAGGTTCGAGGATTTGCCAAGAAGTACTGCGCTAAGCACAGGGGTGTTGGACTGAAGGCCTGTTTCAGGTTTGCCAGTGAAAACGGTGCCTACATCCAAAACACTCTCTTGTACAAACTGGTTGGCCGCCACAACTTCTCATTCTCTGTGACACCAAGTAAGCACAGGGCGAAGTCACACTTGAGTATACTATAAAAGCATGTTGTACACCAAATATATTAATGACTATCTTTTAAATTTAAGTTGAAGGTGAAGTCGTTGAGAGATTGGAGATGGAGGTTAAAGTTGGACCAAATGCTGCAGAGAAGCTTGTTAAGCGCATCAACCTGAACGAAGAGGACACCACAGAGGAAGGAGGACCAGTCCTGATGAAGCTCAACAAAATCCTGTCTTCAAGAAGGAACAGCTCCTCATCTTCCTCCTCTAGCTCAAGCAGCTCCTCAAGGACTTCATCTGTCTCCTCCAGCTCTTCATCTCGCTCCGGCCGTCAGATCAATCTTGCAGCCCGCTCGAGCAACAGCAGTAGCAGTAGCAGTAGCAGCAGCAGCAGCAGCAGCAGCAGCAGGAGAAGCAGCAGTAGCAGCAGCAGCAGCCGCAGAAGCAGAAGCAAGAGTGGCAACACATCAAGATCCAGCAGCAGTTCAGACAGGACCAGCTCTGCATCAAGCATCGCATCTCTCTTCAGCGGCAGCTCAAGCTCTTCTAGCTCCAGGGTCTCTCGCTCTAAGGTAAATAACTTCATCTTGATCTTGCAGGAAATGTTTTAATAACACCAGCTTAGCATGTGGGAAATCTGACATAAATGTTTGCTCTGTACAGCGAGTGACTGAGAAGTTCCGGAGGTTACACAAGGATTATCCCTCCAAATCATCTTCCAGAAGCAAGAGCAATTCCGCCAGCTTTGAGGCCATCTACAATAAGGTGAAATTTGATCATCAGAAAAATGAATAAGCACTTAAGATGTGTTATTTGTGTTCTGTTTAGTTTTAAGTGTGAATCTACCCCATTTAACTTTGAGTGTCGCCACAGAAAAAATTCCTTGGTGAAGAGGAGGCTGTTGTGGCAGTGATCCTCCGTGCTGTGAAAGTTGACAAGAGGATGTTGGGATACCAACTCGCGGTCTACCTCGACAAACCAAATGCCAGACTTCAGATCATTGTCTCCAACCTGTCTTCTGAGAGCAACTGGAGGATCTGTGCTGATGGAGTTGTGTTGAGCAAGCACAAAGTTACAGTAAGGCCCTATATACGAGACACACAATAAAAGTCTATCAGCAACCCTAGGTGACTTATCCTAATGTCTTGTTGTTTGTCAACAGACTAAGATTTCCTGGGGCGAACAATGCAAGAGATATAGCGCCAATGCTACAGGAGAGACTGGTCTTGTTTCTTCAAACCCCGCAGCTCGCCTTAGAGCGTCCTGGGAAAGACTGCCTTCTGCCCTGAGACGTTACGGAAAGATGTAAGAAACTCTACATCACATAGGACCTCCATGTCAGGAATTTTTGTACAGTTTCTGAGATAGATTTTTTTCCATTTCCTTCCAGGGTCAACAGATATGTCCGTTCCAAAATACTGTCAGACTTGATTCACACGAAGAGAGCAAACAGCACCAGGAGGCTCTCAGTCCTTGCAGTTGCAACTTCTGACAAGACAGTTGACTTCGTTTTCAAAACTCCAAGGGTGTGAAAAGGATCAGACTTTATTCTCCAAACAGACAGTGTCATTAATATTCTGAGTGTTTTTATAAATGAAATGAACTCTTCTTGCAGAAATCTGTCTACAATGTCACTCTGCGCCTTCCCGTGTCTATGCCCATTGATGAGATCAAAGGTCTCGGCCCATTTGATGAAGTCATTGATAAGATTCACTTCATGGTTTCAAAGGCTGCTGCAGGTAACGCCAAATGTTTCTTTCGCAAGTACAGATACCTTTGTCTGGCAAGTTCAGACTAAGTGTGTTTTCTTGCTCTTTCCAGCTGAATGCAGATACTTTGAGGACACACTCTACACATTCAACAACAAGAGCTTCAAGAACCAGATGCCTTCTTCTTGCTACCAGGTTGCCGCACAGGACTGCACTGATGAACTGAAGTTTATGGTTCTCCTGAGGAAAGATTCTTCAGAGCAACACCATATCAACGTCAAAATTTCTGAGATGTAAGTTTCCAGGGCAAACTAGAAGACGGCTTTAGTCTGCAAACTAGAAGACGGCTTTAGTCTGCAAACTAGAAGACGGCTTTAGTCTTCATACACAGGATGATCAAGAACCCAAAATAAACAGGGTTTTCACTTTTATGCTTTCAGTGACATCGACATGTATCCAAAGGACAACAACGTCACTGTGAAGGTCAACGAAATGGAAATTCCCCGCACCAGCCTGCCTTACCGCCACCCAACAGGTTACTATGAACAGTCCTTACTGTTTCATTTAGTGTCACATTAATAACTACAAACTACAGTTACACCTGATAATTTCACTCTGTATTTCTGAGTGTCACTACATTTTCTTAAATTACTGCATCATGAAACTGTTACAGCTTCCATTGAGATCAGACAGAGTGGAGAGGGCCTTGCTGTGTTTGCACCTAGCCATGGTCTCCAAGAAGTCTACTTTGACAGAAGGACATGGAGGGTAAAAAAAAAATATGTTTATTATTAACTTTTCCCTTGCAAAAGATCTTCTAAAAGATTAGAAGAGAGGTTTTAGAGAAACCTCAAATGTAGTTGATATTTCTGTTTTCTAATGACCTGATGTTGCATTGCAGATCAAAATTGCTGACTGGATGAAAGGAAAGACCTGTGGACTTTGTGGAAAGGCTGACGGAGAAATCAGACAGGAGTACCACACCCCCAACGGACGCGTGGCTAAGAACTCAGTCAGCTTTGCTCACTCCTGGATTCTGCCTGCTGAAAGCTGCAGGGATGCATCTGGTAAAACCCAACATATATCTAGAAGTTTTGCACATGAATTAATTGTGTGTTGCCTTCTTTGAAAACTGACCTGACAACATCATCCTCCTGCAGAGTGCCGCCTGAAGTTTGAATCTGTGCAGCTGGAAAAACAATTGACCGTTCATGATGAGGATTCCACATGCTACTCTGTTGAGCCTGTGCCTCGCTGTCTGCCTGGATGCTTGCCAATCAAGACCACCCCTGTCATTGTTGGTTTCAACTGCTGGCCATCTGGTGAGGTTTTTTTTCTTCTATAAAAAGGGGATAATCCATAAAACATTTACAGTGCAATTTCTTATTGGTGTATTTCCCTTGTTTGTGCAGATTCTCAGACCAATGTCTACGACAGAAGTGTGGACCTGAGAAAGACTACCCAAGCTCACCTGGCTTGCAACTGCAACACCAAGTGCTCTTAACTACATTTCCTTTAAGTGACTATGTGTAAATTTTTTTCTGTAACAATAAATAAGCTGCATCTTAAAATTCTGTCATGGTGGTTATTTAAATATATGCGTGTGATATATCGATTTATAAAAGATTTTAAAAGGGAAAAAGCTCAGCTTACTCTGGGACTCAACATTTCTTGAAGGTCGGACAGACTTTTCACTTAACTTAGATGTGAAAATCTGCAGAACTGAAACTAGTGTTGGGTTTTCAACTCAAAAACATAATAAAACTGCTTCAAATAGAATTCAAATACATTGTTCAAAGACTCAATAAACATTGAGGAAACCTTCAAAAAAAAAATCCCTGCACATCAGTGAAGGGAAAATTTTATTTTACCTTTTACATTTAAACCATTAATCAAAGTAATTGGTGGAAAAACACTTGCTCACTCATAAAGAAAAAAAAAAAGTCTAAATTTTACAAGATGGGGAAATGAAGAAATATAAAAGCACTGGGACATCTTGGTACACCCAGCGAATGGCTTGGAATTTTACTGTGCTGGACTGAAACCTCCAAAAGGCCTCGTTCAGAGGCAGATAAATGCTCCCTACGACCTGAAGAACACCATCCAGGTTGAAATCATTATGCTTGAAAAACCAAAAGCACAGAGCAATTTTATTGTGTTAAATGAGACAATGGACAGGGCAATAAGGACCAGTCCTGGCGAAGCTTAGCAAAATACTGTCTTTGAGCAGAAACCATACATCATCTTTCTCCTCCAGGTCCAGCAGCTCCGCTTTGACCTATTCAAGAGCTTGAGTTCCTCACTCCAAATGTGAAATCAGTTTTATAGCCAGTGCATTATACAGTAAAAGCGTCCAGAGTTTTGTTGTTGCTGAGGGAGAACCCATAATCTGACAAAATGTCAGGATGTCAGAGGTCACCACGTGTTTGAATTTATGCTTCACAATGCACACCAGCACCACCCAAAGGGCAAAGAGAGGTAATGCAGGTGAAAGATCACAAAACGGCTAATGAAGTACGGTCACAATGTCATATGTGTAATGACTCTATAAAGTGTGTGATTTCATAGTAGAGAGTTACAGTAACTGTGAGAAACCTTAACAAACCACGTTTACAATTATAGAAACACTGAAGTGGTTTAAATCTAAAACATCATGCAGTTTTATAAAACTTACACCCTCATACACTTTTACAAAAAAAAAAAATCAGTAATTCATATTCTAATAAAGTTGATATTAAAACTAGGGAATGATAAATTGCTCATTCTGTTTGTGCTACATCCACATTGCTCTGAGATAAATAGCTGCTTTAGGGCTACATTCTAAATCTTGGTCAAAAAAAATATCTTAACCTTGGTAGACCAAGGAATTCCTCTTTTAGGCTATGTGAACCACTATTAAACACTGAGCACAACTAAGAACAGTCCTGCTGAAGAGAAATATGTTTGCTCATCCACAACTGAACAGAGATTTTAAAAAAAGTCCTCATTCAGTTTCAAACACAACAATGATTACAATACCACATAAATAAATAAATATTTCCCCCCCAATTGTTTTAAAACACTAAGAATATAAAATAAGAAACCTTTACAATTCATTTTGTTTCAGGCATTAACAAGACATATTTGGCTTCATTTTACTCTGTCTTTGATGTTTGCATTCATCAGACACACATTTCTGCAACTATGCATAAACAGCATACATTAAGAGATTCTCTTCTTTCAAATAATAAAAGTTTCCATGGCTTCATATACTGCTGCTCTTCTCAGGTGTGAGTGAAAGGCTGCTGAGGTCTTCGCTCTCCCTCCACTGTTTGTCCCGCAGAGAAATATTTTTACACAGTGGGCTCAATTCCTCAAAATGTTCTGACTTTCCTTGTTTTGACGAGCTGCAAGTCACACTTTACAAAGAGAGATATACAATACAATTACATTCAACCGTAGAAGTTATTATTTTACAAACGTAAATTCAAGTAAAGACGTCATACCCGTTTTCTGGAATAAGGCAAAGTTCACACTCCAGATCGCCTGCAGAAGACGACGTGAGAGAAACCGATCCGGGTATTGGGGAGGCCGAGTCAGATCGCCATTCGCTGGGTGTTTCTGGAGCCATCGGTGCACTGACCTCCGTTTCACCTGGTTAGATAAAAATGTGCCTTAACCAAGATTAACAAAACAGTAACTGTTAATTGGTTCTGAACTTAAGGAAAGACTCACCGATCAATAAGGCACTTGCAGACTTCGGCGCATGAAGCTGCTTTGAGTTTCCAAACGGACTCATACTTAGAAACTGCTGTTTGAGCCACGTTCCCCGATCCTCCTCAAAGATCTTCCTCTGCAAGTTAAACCAGGACTTTTTCAGAAACAATCAATGTAGTCATTTTTTGGGCTCACGTTTCCTGCACAGTATTTCGTTCACCTCGTGGCTCAGTCTAATAGCTGCTTCAGTGAAGTTCCTCCTTTCCCTCTCAAAGCTCTTTCTCTGTTCCTCTAAGTTCTTCCATTCCTCACCGAGGCGTTTCTTCTCCTGCAGCATGTAGCCATCGTTCTGCAGCGACACCGAGTCTTCGTTGCACGCACAGCTCAGCTGCTTCTGCAAACCGATAGAGCACAAGCATAGTCAGGACCCCAGCAAAGCAGGACGTATTCAGACGAAATACACAGAGCTCAGAATTAATTTGATAATTTCAAAAAGATAAGATATAGGAATTGTGTCCAATTTAAAAAAAAAAAAAAATATCACATATGATAAAATATGGCGGCTTTAGTAGTATCTTTATGTAAATCTGTCTCCTCAGAACAAACAGACTAGCATCTATGAAAATATCTAAACACAAAGTTACACAGAAACATAAAAATACTAAAATACACCAATACTGAGGTGAAATAAATATGCAAAAAGTGATCCTAGAGTCTGACAACAAGTCAAAAAAACCAAAACAATTCAAATATCGAAAGTCTTCAGACTTTCGATACTCAAGTACATATTTTTTTAGAATCTAGCCCCCCAAAAAATGCTGCCTTACCTGTAGGAGCTGCTGCTGCTTTTGGATGAAATCTTTGCACCGCTGGATCTCCATCTTTAGCCGGTCCATCTCCTCCTCATGATTCTCACGAGGGACAGCGTCATCAATGTTAGACTCAGACATCTGAGTCAAAGACACTAAAAAAAAAAAAAAAAGGAAAAATCAGCCATGTCCCCAAAGGTCAAATCTAGAATTTGATTATTACCAAAAGAAGATGGCCTTGAGAATTAATAATAAATTGATGCAGACCAGAGCATTAGGATGATTTAAAAAAAATTGCGTGTACTGCTTACATAAGCACTGTGCGAGATGTGTTGTCTGATTTTAGAAAACCTGTTGAATCCTTGATTTTTAAACTTTACTTTTTAGTCATACAAATGATACAAGGAACAAAAATAAAGAACTGTTTGAATGGTTGCCCATGAACAGTTCTCTCCTGATCTGCTGGAATTCATTTGACAACAGTAAATACTGTAGTCCTCAAACCCAACAAGTTTTTTCCCCACACTACCTTGGCTGTCCAGTCTTTCAACGTGGCTCTTAAGTCTTCTCCACTGGAGGCGAATACTGTTAGTCAGCTTCTCCCTGGCATCAATACAAAACAGCTCCAAACTTTCCTTACTGGGGTCTAACACCTCGTCGTCTTCGTCTGAGGGAGCCTGAAATTAAGATACGAATTTTTGGTAAAAGTGTTGTATTTATAGCTAAAAAAAAAAAAAAAAGGAAAACTAGTGTTTAGAGAAATACGAGTAAATAAAGAAAGTAAAAAATATTTGGTTATTTTTACAGCAGAGACTTAACAGGAAGAAAAATGACTAGAAAAAGTGGAAACAGTATTTACAACCAGCACTGGCCAAAAAAGCTCCAACCTGCGTATCATTATGCTCATAATTTTCTCCTTTGGGGATCGGTTTTCTTGACTTCAGGATGGACACCATCTCCTTCTTCATCTGATGCATCACCTTCCTCAGCTCTGCGTTTTCCAGGACAAGCTCCCTCTGCCTCATGTCGTAGTCGCTCAGAAGCGTCCTGTACATCTCTCCCTCATGCCTTCAGGAAAAAATAAAAATACATATATTTTATGTTATTAGTCAAGCTAGAGACAAAGGCTGCCAAAACCAAAAAAGTTTCATCTCATAAAACAATCTGTTTAAAATCCTGGATGGCTTTAGGTTTTACACCTTTAAATTCAGACAAGACAGAAGTCGTTTTTGTTAAAAAGCAAATACTGGTAGTCAGCTTCTCCCTGGCATTAATGCAAGGCAGTCTCTGAAAAATGTCACTAAGGGCTTAGCTGGTGACAGAATCTGAATGGCATTAAATTGGCCTTTGGTAATAAAGTAAAGAACACTAGTGTTATTTTTCACCAGGTTAGGTTATTTTGAGCTACCTCTGTAGATATGCTGAAAAGCTTAAGGATGCTGGAAGCTGTTTTTCTTCACTCTCCATTTTATGTCTGGTCTTAAAAACAGCAATATTATCATTTTATCACAATAATGACTGGCACAATTCCTAGCCCAGAATTTTTTTTTTATTGTGACAGAACAAAAAAAAAAAAAAAAAGAAAAAAAAAAAGCTGGTCGTGGCAGACGGTTGTTCAAAATGAGTCGGGTTCTGCTGTCGTTTTTTTTTTTTTTTTTTTTCTATTAAAATGAAGTCGTCCCTTTCTAATGTCCCAAAATGATTAAAGATGCAGAGAAAGCATGTAAACGTAGTTTTTTTTTTTTTTTTTTAGCAATTGCTTTAAATTACTGCTTTATAACTAATATAAACTTAAATTAAAGTTCAAGTTTGAAATGCATATTATTTAAACATCCTGGCAAAGACATACCACTTTTGCTGGTAGTGTAATATTACAATCACAACAACCTTTAGCACAAACATCTTTACACACATTTTAAATACAGCCAATAATTTTCTTCCTTTGTGTGACAATACAAATTTTAGAATTTCCTAATAACGACAAAAGCATTCTGAATTAAAATGTATCTCTTTAAAACTGACAGTAAAATGGCTCTAACGATAGAGCTCTAACTTGATTTTATAAAGGTGAACAGAACCTACTTTGCCTCTGTTTTTTCAGTTTTCCACAGGCTTCTCTTTCCATCAGCTCTTCCGATGTTGTTTAATACGTCAATAGCTGGAAAACAAGAACATAATAAACAGAGAACATAAAGTGGGGCAAGTACTACACTGTTTCTCCAGCTAGTTTATGCATTGTAATATAGTATACTTTTATTTTACTTCACATTTTCTTCTTTAATCTCACAAGTATCTCCTTATTTTCAGCACAGTAGAGGAGCGAGCAAGTTTCAGTGCATTGTCTCCAAGCTTTTAATTCCTTGTATACATTTAGTACTAAAATGAAAAACAATTATGCAAGCAAATGTACTATTTTACCTGGTTTTCTATCTTTTTTGTCAGCTAGGAGTTGATTCAGTCGCTCCTTCAGTTTGGTGAATTCTCTCTCCCTCCTTTTCATTTCGTGGTTGAACTGACAGGCACGGCTTGAAATTATGTTCTGCAGTTTTTGCACCTGTCGCGAAGGAGAGAAAAAGGAAAAACAAGCTGATGCTTTTTGTACAAAATGCATGAGGTGAACTGTGAAAGTATTACTTATGATAAAACTAGTGCACACTGCTTCATCCCACCTCTTCTTTCTCATTCTTCAGACAGTTCTGCAGACTCTTCAGTTTCAGCTGCAGCTGTCGTTCTCTCTCAAGCAGTCCCGTGTTTTGTCGTTTGGAAACTTCAACCTCTTCCTGCACAGCACAAGGGAAAGTGTTACTGGCAGCAAAGCCTTTTGGCAGATCACAGAGAAATCCAATTGTGTGTGTGTGTGTGTGTGTGTGTGTGTGTGTGTGTGTGTGTGTGTGTGTGTTTTACTATTCTTTAACTAATCTGCAATTTTATTATAAAAATAGACGAGTCACTCATTACTCTACCTTTAGCTGCGTGTTATTGATCTTCAGGTAATCCACGTTGCTGCTGAGTTTCAGTTGCTCCATTTCCATGTTTTCCAGTGTTCTCAGGCTCCTGTGGTGCAGCTGAATCAGGTCATACATGCAATTCAGCACAGCCACAACATCCAGCTGTGAGCCGCTGACTGACTCGGTCCAGCCAGGCGAGAGGCCCAGCAGTGACACCTCCTGTAAAATAAGACAAATCAGATGAGCTGGCATTCAGACTTCCAACACATTGCTGCAGTTTGCCCTAGATCTGTCTTTGGGACCCAGTTTATGACCAGGCCTATCAATTTGAAAGCTACAAGACTAACAGACCTGACTGATGTGAGACAGGCATTCCTGCAGATTGTGCTCTGTGCAGAAGGTGCTGAGCCTGTGAGAGTTTCTGTGGAGTGGCAGCGATGACTGGCTGAAATGACTCAAGGGAGGTGTTCTACATTCAACAGAACAGCGGCGAGCGTCCTTGACTTGAAGGAGAAAAGAAGTCTGTCAAATATCTCTCGTGCACCGACTTGTGTTCATTTACTACATGACAGAATTCATAACTTTTCAATTAAAATAAAGTGTTGAAGGAATTTTAGGGATTAATCTAACAATGATTACGAATAGAATTGATCAGTTATGATTTCTCATACAGGACACACAATCGAGGACTAAACTGTGGAGAAGCCTACAGGACAGAGCATGTAGTACTGAAGGACAAGGTTGATATGCGAGTCAAATATAACACAAAACGATGACAACACATTTTGTGAGACAAAGAGCATTTTGCAATTAGTTATAATGTTTCACGAGACTTAAACTCACCCTGTGAGGACTCTGGCATTGTTGCAGAGCAGCCGTCAGCAACCGGTGTGGAAAATCTACAGCATGTGCAGATTAGAAAACATGACTGCAAGATCCACCTACTGCATCCTGAAATAGACGGTCAGATTAGCAGCGGCCACTCAATGCACTCTGGATTACCGGCCTTTGGGAATAAACAAGCAGTGGTGAGGGGTTGAAACCTGCAACAAACTGAGTAAAAAAGCTCCTGAATCAAGAATAAAAAGGTTGTAATTTGCGTCTAAAATTTGTGTATTTCTTTTACAGCTATTAATATGGTTATTGTTAGTTTAAGTGTATGGTATCATAGCACTTAACGGGTTGCAGGCAAAGCCAAAGCTGTTAATTTTCCTTAATGGAGTAATCTGTTGATCAGATTAACTCCAGGCAGACAACATGTTGGTTTATTTCCAGAGAAACAAAATCAAGAAACATGGATGGAAACTTTGTATGTTACAAAATAAATGTATGGGCTTTCGAGTGAGACTGATTAACTCTCATTTGAAAGCACTTACTGAACTGTTTCTCTTACAATTTTGGATAAAAGTTACAAGAAAATTTATAAAGTTCAACTAAAATCTAAAATATTTAAATAATTAAAATTTTTTTACAATTCTGTACTTCTTTTTTTTTTTTTTTTTTACCTTTCCTGTATCTTCTTAAAAGTTAATAATATAACCCAGAAGGATATGCATTTTCTTTCAGTGACACCTAATCTGGTTAGACAAATTGGTAATCCTCAATTTAGACAGACTACTAGTGTTAACCTTTAATGGGGGCATTTTAAATTTCAAGGTCTGCTCATGCGTGGTATTTCAAGAGTTTTGCCATTGTCTATAGGGCATTATCCAATAAATACGATTATTTATTTTTGATTGATTTAAGTTAATCACAAAGAAGTTCGGGATCTACAGTTCAGTGTCACTTATTTTAGCATGTCTTGTCTGAGAAAAACTAAAACATGTGTACTTTGTATAACCAGAAATATTGAATAAACAGAAAAAATGCACACGTTACTTCATTTTTAATCGAGATAAAACATTGAACTGGATGTTCAGCGCTGTGCGACGTGACATTTAAACTGTATTGCTGGACAAGCTTAATCGTTTAAGGCGTGAATTAGTTTCTTTACAGAACAAAATCAACATGTAATATTTATATACTCACTTCATGCTTCAATTTATGCCGTATTTCCGAAGCTATATGTTTCCCAGCTCTGCTTTCCTCTGCAAACCACGACACACAAACCAAACACGGCGCTGAATGGCCCACTCGTTGCATAGCAACCAAACATGGCTCGATGTGATTGGCTGCTGGGTGTGAGGCAGTTCGAGCGTTCTCAAATGCAATAAATTTTTAACATTAACTTTTACCATGTTTAACAAACCCTTCAAACAAAAAGCGTTTCTCACCTTTTCAGATTAAAAACGGATTTGACGACTGGAAGTCTAAAGTTAAAAACAAATATAAAATATAATGTCAACTATACATACATTATTTTAAACGAAAGCAATGCAAAATGGCAGTTCGAACAAACATGTTGCCATCATTTAAAAACATTTAAAACATAATATCGACATAATATAATTGTTCTATCATTCTATATCAGTGCATTAACTGATGTATTATCTTCTCATCATTCTGCAAAAAATATGTTTTTGGGTTGAAGTGTCTGATTTTGTAGTAAGCCTTCAGAGAACCAAAACATTTTGAATTATGAATATTTAAGCTGATATTTAAGCTTGGACTTACGGTTTATTGAATAAATGTAACTCTTTCTATTACAAACACAAGAAAGAAGAGCTTGAAGATAAACATAAAAGCATATGCATTTTTTTATCTTAAAAGATATAATTTAGTTATAATGAGAGCAGATATCTCTGAGTTCTCTGTTATAATTTCCTCTTTATTCAGTTACATTGAGACAAAATAAGAAAACAGGGGAGAGTGAGAGAATCATATTGTGAAGCATGTGTCCCTTTAAAATTTAAATGAAGCCATTAGAGTCTGGTGGCCAAAGGAGCTCCACTAAGGAAACACATCAGAGGAGTGAGCAGAGTAGCTTCGTCCCCAGGGGCTGGAGAGTAAACCCATCCCCATCAATTACAACAACCCCACCCTATATGAGACATCAAGGGTCAATAGAGAAATAGAACCCATACTCTGACAGAAAAACACATTTTGTCTGTTTTAGGAGAGTTTAGGATGTCATTTGATCTCTTAAAATCTTTATTATGTTTCAGTTTCATGCCATTGTAAAAACTGTGGGATTCATTTCACATTAAAAGTGTAATTATTTCCAGAAGATTAAGCATGGCTGAAAATTAGGCAACTTGAGCAAGATATATTTAGCACTCTGTTTGGATAGGCCTGTTGCAGTGAGCAATAAATCAATTCATTGCATGATAAATCAAAATGAGCTCAGTCATTTAAATTTGCATGATTTATTGTTTTTTCTCTCTCTTTCTACCAAAATTTGGATGACAAAAGGCTTCAGTTTGGTAAGTGGTCTCAACTAACCCTTTTGTTGAAGGACAATTTTGTTCATAGAGACTTCATAATTCATTTCATTTGTTAAAAGGCCATGAATTTTAAAATGTATTGATATTTTTACCATTATCATTATGTTACTTGAAAATGGTCTAAAGAAAACAAAATTATTATTTATTGCAATAACATCGCAGACAATTTATAGTTCTGCAAAGTTTGACAGGGATCTGTTTCAGAATAAAATGTAAATATCTTGAACCCCAGACGAAATCAGTATAATACACAGTTGTTGAAAACTTCCATTAATATAAAACTCATCTTTTCTAAGAACTTTGTACATCGATGACTTTTCTGTCACCTGTTCTGAATCCATAATACGCCATATTTGTACACAATGTATGTACTAAGAGATTGTCCAAAAACCCTTAAAACATGCAGGGATCTTGAATCTGTTTGCATCTTCAAATATAATGAGTCGTCTGTGGTAAAGAAACCATCTCAGGTGTTCAAAAATGTCTGAAATCCACCAGCAGTTAAAAAAAATTTATAATAATAATAATGAAAAAAAAACCTGTTTGGAGTAAATGCAAGTCCAAGCTCCACCAGCAGAAATAAGCTATGCATGACCCAGGAATAAACGCCACTCAGCTCTTCAGTACTGCAGACATTGAAGCAGCTTTTTTAGAGAATGAGTTCCCGACTGACCTGCCACCCACTGAATATGAAAATATATGAAACAAAGAAACATAGAAAGTTTCTTTCATTTCAATCTGACTTTCAGATTGAAAAAAGTGTAGACGTTGTATTTTTATGTTTGAAGATCCAGGATCCTACTGGCTGACTCCAAATAAAAGACTTGCATCACTCAGCAAGTTAAAGACAGGTATTGCGATGTACTTATCTGTCTCTAAATATGTGCAAATGTTGCGCAGTCTGTGTGAAGAAATGAGTATTATCTAGCAGTACCACACATTTGGACAAATGTGGGTAGCTTATCTGACTGCAGATTATGAAAGAACACCGCATGAGTGAAATCTGATTCTCACTGGAGATAAAGATTGCTTACATCCGTATGAGTAAAGATGTAAAAACACACAGGAGAACTAGATTTCCCCTGTGGATCCCAGCAAATTATTGTAGCTATGTCAACATCTAAATAAATTAAAATGTGACAATGACATAGAACGACCAAAAACTGTAACACAGCTGCAGCTACAAAGACAGTGACATATTTGTAACCCACTTACTTTTGTAAATTTTATAAAGAAGATTTTCTTCACTTCCACTAGATGGCAGATCTGGATTAGTTACAGCCACAGTTTAAGATTCAGGGTTAAAATCTGTTTCTATCCTGCACTGATAAGCATTTGGAATAACTCCAGAATTCATCAGACTCTTAAAAAAGTAAAAAGACAAATGATTTAAAAAAAACAATCATATTAGAACAAGTAGCAGATTCATCATCACAAGTGATGATGACTTTGTCCAACATGGTAGTCATCTGTTTTACCGTGAATGTAAATGGCTCCGTGATTTAACAAGGTGCACTATTCTGGAAAATATAGCAAAACATCACTTAAATATAGATCCAGTGCTACACAACATCCTTTCTCACCCATATTCCTGGTAAAATTAGAGACAACTGCTGGTAAAAAGCAATAAAGGAAAGCAAATGGCTACAATCTATAGAGCAAGCTGTCACTCCGACTGAAAGGAAGTTAGAGCAAGTCGCACTTTCAACCACAAGAAGAAGAGTCATATGTGTTACCAGCAGAAAAGCTGAAGCCCTGGTAGTTACTGGATATTTATTTTCATCAAGGGCAAATCTGCTAATAATAATTATTCCAAACATTTGTCTTCTTGTGTAAACTTGTGTAAAGTTTTTTTTTTTTTTTTTTTTTTTTTTTTTAAACCTTTGAGTCAAACTTTGGACAATTTTTTTTTTTCCCTCCTCTTTTCAACAAAAACTCCTGAAAA